GATGAGATGCTATTATATATTTATGATGAGATATGCGATGAAATGCTAGCATATATTTATGATGAGATATGTGATGAAATGCTAGCATATATTTATGATGTGATATGTGATGAGATGCTAGCATATATGTGATGATATATGGTGAGATGCTAGTATAAATTTATAATGAGATATGTGATGAAATGCTAGCATATATTTATGATGAGATATGTGATGAGATGCTAGCATATATGTGATGATATATGATGAGATGCTAGTATAAATTTATAATGAGATATGTGATGAAATGCTAGCATATATTTATGATGAGATATGTGATGATATATGATGAGATGCTAGTATAAATTTATGATGAGATGCTAGCATATATGGGATGAGATATTGATTCAACCGTACATGATGGGTGGATCTGGCTAACATGCCATTTCCTATTGGTTTATTTCACCTGGGTTACTTATTCATGTTGAGATATTTGACGTAGCATAACCGTAAGACTATCATTTTGGTTATGGTTTTAATTTATAGTCACACCTGTTATTTCCTAGGAAATTAAACTGGTATTGCGGCTAGGGACTACTATCTTTGGTAGTTGGAATTGGTCTGAAGAGTTTTGTTTCACTCGCTCACATTTTCTGTTTTTGTACCCTCAAAGTTCTAGCAGCAGAGTTCCGTATCGACGAGAATTCGTGGCACTTCCCAGTGTAGGTGGCTTCTTTGATGGTATAATCATTATCTTACCTTACTGTATTTTACTTGTGCTCTGTATCACGCGTGAAATGGGTCCAGACCCGTTCACCGCACACTCGTGTACTTAGGAATTTTTAGATTTTAATTTATTCACACTTTATGGCTTCGTCACCTTCTAGGTGTCGGCCAGCACGGCTCGATTCGGGATCCTATTGGACATTCCGGATCGGGATGTGTCATCTAACATGATCTTTTGGCATCTTAAAAAATTTAGAAAAGAGAAGAAATCGTTTTGAAAATGGATAGAAAGAAAAAATGGAAAACTAGTATGAGGAAACTGAATTTTTTTGTGGAAAACTTATATGATCAAATAGCTTTCAATTTAATGAAAGTTGATGGAATTCATGTGATTCACATGCCATTAATTATTGGGAACTTTAACTAAAAGCACCTGATACTGTTCACTTTAACGAAAAACCACATTTTTACACTAAAAAGTCAATCCTGGTACTATTCACTTTACCCTTTATTTTGTCCTTATCATTAAAACTCAAAGTTTTCAAGCCATTTTCATTAGTTTTCTTTTAATTATTTCGACAAGTCTTATTTCTCTTTTCTACTTTTTGTATGGATCCTTTCTTTTCGTTGTCGACGCATATATTGTCGCTTTCTTATTTAAATGTTAATGCTATTTATATACTTCTTTTTATCTTGCACACACTTTTATTAATTTGTTCATTAATTTTTTTCAATTTATTTGATTTGACGTTAAAAAATATAAAGAAGTGTGTGAGAAAGATAAAATATGAGTGTATGGATAACATCATCCTATTTAAAACATGGTACAAACTATTCATGCATTCGCCTAAACAAGAATGGATTGACAATCATACAAATTGATTTAATTTTTTTTTTTTTTTGGTTTGTAAGATTGACAATTGTTTTAGATTCTAGGAGCGATTGAAATTATGAGGATCCCTAACATGTGATAACCATGTGTTTGAGTTCAATGAGTAGGGTTTGGCCCGAAGAAATACACATGACATGAGTGAGAGAGACGGAGAGAAAAACATGACTTGATAGAAAGAAGGGAAATAAAGTTAAAATGTCAATTTTCACATTTTAGACGTAATTGAGGAGAAATTTTCTATGTTATCGTAACTCGATTCCGTACATTATGTGTTATAGAAGTTTTTCTTATTAAGTATTCTTTCACTTGTATTATAACACGTAAAGTACTGAATCGTATTCCGTATTCTAAAAAGTCTCTGGTAACTAAGTTGGACAAAGAGAACACCAATGCTTGCTGAGTGGGTGGAAGGCAGTGGTACACTTGAGCTATTAAGCTAGTGTACTGGGGTTAAGAATCTTAAGGGAAAAAAAAATTAAGCTGAGTTAAGACCAATTCCACTGTTGCAAAGCCCCCTAGGGCAAGTCATTATTGAATAGCCTTCAATAAACAGTAACTGCCTTTTGCATCTCCATCTCTACACTGAATAGCCATGGCAATAGGTAATAAAATATTAGTATTTTTATTATATAAAATAATAAAAAATAATTTTATTTGTAATTTCAAATATGATTTTTAATCGGTATCGTTGTACTACGTGTCATTATATAAGAAATTACAACCCAAAGCATTTGAGAAAATATAAAATTATGGTGTAAGTTGGAAGATAATGATAACATATTTATAGAAAAATTAAATCATTGTTTTTAATTTTAATTTTTTTTTTGGGATTTTTTAATTTTTATTAATTTTTTACATTTTTTTATTAATATTTTATATTTTTATTAATTTTATATTATGGCTGACATCACCCTTGCATCACCTCCACCTCGAGGTCTCGGGCCACCAATTTGTGCCGGGCCTGTCCCTTGGGCACCCTTCGACACTGAAACCTGCGTGGGTTGGAGTTCATTGCCCCAACAATTGGGTCATGTGTAATCCACAGTCCATCGGGCACAAGCCTCCGTTGGACTTGCTCTAATTAAGATAAATAGGGCAATACTTGAATATCGACTGGTTAGCTAGTACCCAATACTGGTCGACCATTAATGTAGCTCACTATATATGTGAGAGATTTTGGAGAAAAAGGAGAAATTCTTAGTTATCCGGACAGGTTTTTTGGGCTAATCTAATTTTTTTTTAACAATCGATATTATCTACACTAAGGGGAAAAGGTGGGCTTAGCCTCATAATGTGCTAGTAATAATGTGGTTCAAATTCGCCTTGGTGAGAATCAACCCTAAGACCTCTCACTTACATGAAAGGTCAGTATAATTGGTTCAATATTGGAGTATATTACGGAAAGGATGGCTAAAATTCTTTATTAATAAATAGTTTGTAGTTTGTCTTTTATGGTACATATAGTATCTAGTGGATCTTTATAACGGTTAATTCTTGCATAAAACTCGTACCAATGAGTGGTATATATCATTGTAACTGGACCGACATAAAATATATTATATACTATATAGAAAATAAGAAGCAATTTTTATCAGCTGATATGCATGTTATTTGGTAAAAACGAAGAAGAATTTGCAAATGCATGCATATGCATGAACAGCGGCAGCTGCAGCTACATGCATCACGCTGTATATCTTTCTCTGGTAGTTAGCACAGTAGTCCACACTTGAGCTCAACTATTGTTTGATATTTTTGTCATATATATTACGACGGTGCCTAATTTACTCATATCTTGATCGTGATATCTCTGCCGTCTGCATGGAGCTCTGCCTCTCACGCATGCAAGAGGGATGCATTCCATAAATATATGTACGTATTCGAATGCACCGTCCAAAGGTTTGACTGAGTAACTTACATACAAAGCGTCTGGAAAGAAATTTATTTATTTATTTCAAGTGAAATCTTCACTCCAAACTGAATTAAAAAAAGAAAAAGTTTGAATTCTAAACACAGTGAGTTGAAAAAATATATTTATACCACGCATAAGATGCATTTGGTTTTGTCGATAGATTTTTCAACGTATTTAAAATACGGACACATATATCATGTATTGTTGTACAAATGAAGGAACACTTAAAAAAAACCCTTCATTCTACTTGTATAATAACTTCCTTCCACTTGCATGTTTTCTGCATTGAAAAAAAAAACCCCCAAACCAAAAATTTCTATGTTAATTAGTCTTGGTCCCCTTCTATGCCTAGAAAAAAACAAAGTCAGTCTTTTTTTTTTATGGTAAACAAAGTCTTGGTCTTTTTTTTTTTTTTGGGGTAAACAAAGTCTAGTCTTTTGCATTTGTCAAACGACTCAAATACTGACAATAAAGAACAATCGCAAAAGTGTTTTTTTTTTTTTTTTCTAATTTTTTTATGGTACAAATGACTAAATAGTTTGAAAAAAAAAATAAAGGTTAAATTTTGCTATGGATCTTTTGTAACGGTTTCATGGGTCTGAATGCATTTCCATGGAGTCTTTTATTCAAGCTGAGACATGGGTTACAATTGACAAAACTCAATGCTCAATGTTCATGGCCCATTTGAATTTTCTCTAGTGTACATCAAAAGTGCACATTTAACTATTTAAGTTATACATCTGAATAAGAGCCATTAAATCTGTATTCAAATGTGTAACTTAAATTTGCAATTTGATATGCACTAAAAAAAATCCCATGGCCGATCCACTATTCACTACACATACTCAAGTCCAATCCAATAATATCCAGGTCAACCTACCTAACAACTCAAAAAAATTACGGACCTTTAAAAGCAATTACATCTTCAAGTATTGGGTTCAATTTACAAGGTTTCGATTATTGCCAAAGATGAATTCTGAACCACAATTGCTAGCCCATTATGAAGCTTAGCCCATCCCCTCCCCCTTTGAGTAAATAATATCGTTTTTTCAAAAAAAAAAAAATTACAAGTGAAGAAAAATATCACCAAATAGTAGGATGCGTTGCAGATTTAAAAAATAATTTAACAAGGAAAAGAAACTATGAAACTCGTCTACAATACATCCATTTACTTGGTACAATTACCGAACAACGGTCATATATATTATAACGACTTCCAATGATCATATCTAACCGTCAATGAGTGATTAATTAAGTACTTCAACATATCCTAGCCGGTCCTGAAACTATGATAGAAGTCCCCAAGTGCAATCAAAGTTGGGCCAACATTCTTAACCAAACTAATATATATCCTCCATCCTAAATGACTCAAGCCCAATATATACCGTCCATCATAAATGACTCAAGCCCAATTCATCTTGGGCCCTAAGTATTGGACTAAACTTAGCCCAACTCAGCATACTTTACCCTTAAATCAACAGTCAAGATGTTTCCAATTTCATAAGCCAATCAGGACCGTCCGCCATGCCATCCCAAAGCACCCATAAAAGTGCTATAAAACCCTAACTTTCACTCCCACCATCTTCCTCTTAACCCCGCCGAGAAACCCCTAACCCTAGTTCATCGTCACCGTAGACACAGCGGCTACAACTCGGTGAGTAATCTCTCAGATCCCAATCCTGCTACAGTTTCTTACGCATTTCCGTTTCATGTGATTTGATCTGTAAATTTTGAGCATCAAACGAGCTGTTTGATTGTGTGTTTTCGTAATTTGGATTGGTTTATGCGTCAGGGATACGTTTATTTGATTGCTGGGTTGTGTTTCTATTTGTTTCCTGAGAAAATGGAGCACTAGGATAGCATTTTTGGTTTAATTAACTCTGTTTGGTTGCTGGGAAAGGTATCACTTTTGGACGAAGAACGCTTTTGTTTTGTGTTGGGTAGCTGATATTTTGCTTAACTATTGAACAAATGAGTTGATTTTTCTGTAATTGTTTTCTTAATATGAATGTTTTGATTGCTGTGTACATGTTTTCGTTACTTTGGGTTTCAGCTTTATTTTTTTACTGTTACTGGTAAAAGTTGTTCCAATTTGAATTGGGTTTTCCAGTCTTGTATGTTTATGTTTTCTGAATGTATTCAGTGTTGTGGATGAAATTTGGGAAATTTGGTTTTACCGTATCGATTTTAGAGGTTTGGAATCGGGTATATTAATTTCTTTCTATTGTGCTTTTTAGGGTTTCCTGGTGTTATTTTTATGTCATTTACAAGTCTTAAATCTGTCGTTGTATAATTTTTAGTTAGCACGTGCTCTGAATTTAGGTAACTTTATTTTTTTAAATTACAATTGCTCTATTGAAGTGAAGTAGAATTCCTAATTTGTTGTCTTTTGTAGAACTCATGTCTGAATGCGCCTTTGTCTTCATGTGTGATGCAAATAATTTATTGAGAAGATAGTACTTAAGCTACTATTTTCATGTATATGTTTAAGTTTGGTGTTTGTTGAATGTAGTTGTCCTCTAAATGTTCTTCACTTTTGTGATGTTATAGAGATGGGTGAAGAAGTCAAGGTAGTGGTTCCAGAGTCCGTGTTGAAAAAGAGAAAGAGGGAAGAGGAGTGGGCCTTGGCCAAGGAACAGGAGCGTGTAGCTGCCAACAAGAAGAAGGCTGAGAACCGGAAGCTCATTTTCAACAGAGCAAAGCAGTATTCTGAGGAGTATGAGCAGCAGGTAGATATTGTCACTTTTCATGATGTTCATTTTATTTGTCTGTTGCGTTTCTGCATATTGGTCTGATTATTTGTTGTTGAAATTGGTTTGTTTCCCATGTTTAGGAGAAAGAGTTGATCCAGTTGAAGCGTGAGGCTAAGTTGAAAGGTGGATTTTATGTTGACCCAGAGGCTAAGCTCTTGTTCATTATTCGTATCCGTGGGTATGTTCTCAACGTTCAGCTTAATGGGAAATGAAGTCCAATGATATGTGCTCTGTATCTTATACTTTAATTTCTTAAATTTTCAGTATCAACGCCATTGACCCAAAGACCAAGAAGATCTTGCAACTCTTGAGGCTGAGACAGGTAGCACCCCTAACCCATTAACCTAGTGATACAAATGTTGACCTTTCTATTAGGATTCCTTTAGCTTCTCTCTTTTGGTATTTTTAACGGTTGTCTGATGGTTTCACTGCATCAAGTGAGAGGCTTTTCAATCTATCTGTTTGTTCTTTCATTAGATAGCTGATGATATCTTTAAACACAGTTGAGTCTTGATCATAGAGAGTTTATAGCCCTCCTATAGTTCTGTATTTATCCGCTTGCCTTCATCCGTTGTTAAAGTTATGAACTGTGTTAATAGGTGCCCACATATTTTCAGTTGTATGTTAAAAGTTCAATTTTGTTTTATCTTCTAAAACAGATCTTCAATGGAGTCTTCCTGAAAGTTAACAAAGCCACCCTCAATATGCTTCACAGGGTTGAACCATATGTTACTTACGGGTGTGTAAACATCTTTCACATTCTCTTTTCCTTTGTCTCAGCTGTAAAAGTCTGGAAATGTATGATTAATACGAGTTGAATGATTTCAGGTACCCCAACTTGAAGAGTGTCAAGGAATTGATATACAAGAGAGGGTATGGTAAGCTGAACAAGCAGAGGATTGCCTTAACTGACAACGCCATTGTTGAGGAGGTTTGTACCTCGCTGCTAATGTGTTTCTAATTGGTTTCATTAATTGTTACATCTTTCTAACATCTGCTATTGTCACAGGCTCTTGGCAAATATGGCATCATCTGCACGGAAGATCTTATTCACGAGATCTTGACAGTTGGTCCTCATTTCAAGGAGGCCAATAACTTTCTATGGCCCTTTAAGCTTAAGGCACCACTGGGCGGTCTTAAGAAGAAGAGGAACCACTACGTTGAAGGTGGAGATGCTGGAAACCGTGAGAACTACATCAACGAGCTTATTAGGAGAATGAATTAGGTCTATGCAGTAATTTATTATTCCAGTCAATCGAGTTCTTTCTGTCAACTAGGGGGGATCTGATACTTAATCCTCTGTTTAAGTTGAACACAGTTTTCGCTTTAAGGTTCATGACTTGTTTTGGTGTCGGAATATTTGATTCACATTTTGAAGACTTGAATGCTAGAAAGTTTTGTTGCCTTATATAAATGCTTTGCTTTCGATGCTGCCTGCTTGTTTACTTCTGCCAAGGTTCTAAGTTCGGCTAGAGTTTCATATGTTTTGTTGCCCTCCTTTTTCTTTTCCTTTCGTGATTAAGTAAAACAATGAAGAGGAATTAGATTGTCCTCAAAACAAAGTAGGAAAGGAATGGAGTATTCTTGAGTAGTAAGAGCATCTCCATAAGTCGGTGGAGGGCGGGCGATAGCAATTGGAGAGCACTCTAAACAGTAATTGTCAATGTGCAAGTTCACTTGTTTGGAAGAATGAAGGACAATAACGATTACTATTTACAAACGTATTTTTTTAATTGTTTTTTTATTGTTTTCTTCATCTTATAAACACATCTCATTATAGCTGTAGATTTTTGGTAGTTTTAAAAGTTTAATTTGCAAGTGTGTTGAACTTTATAAGATTTTTGAAGTGTAAACATTGTAAGTTTCTTTATTTGTTTAGAGTTGGATTAATCCTAGATGTTGAGTTGAACAATTTTTTGAAATCAAATGCTCATAAAGAGCTACATGGGGAGTGGGAGAGCTGACGAATCATCACGGATTGGAGTAACTATGGGCTTCAGGCGGGGGAAAAACCAACCAATCCCACCCTCCCCCTCCTCCTCCACCCCAGGGGGGCTTTAGTGGCAAACCCTTACAATTTTAAAATGACAGTTGCCTTCAACCCAACTATCTCCCATTTTGTAGGCCCCCCTTTCCATACTGGGCTTTAGGCACAAGCCTTAGACCATCTCCAATCAAAAGCTCCAGAGGGTAAAAAATAGTCTAAAAATCGTCTTCAACTGAGGGCTAAGCCATAGGGCTCGTGGGCCCCATTGGACAAAAAGGGTCGGGCTCCCATTCAAACCCCAACAGCTAGCTTGCTAGTTGGCGTCACGTTGACATCAGTTATCATTGGTTTCTGAATATTTTTTTTTTTTGGCCAAAATATTTTTTAAAAATTCTCATTTTTCCCTATAAATGCCTAAGTCGACCATTCCTCACAAATTTTTCATCATTCCTACACCATTTCAATTCTCATATTTTCTTAGCTCTTCCAATAATATTTCCTTCAATTTTTTCAATAATTTTCAAATGGCCTCATATGCAATGAAAGGTAAGGTTTGGACCCGAAAAGAAGATGAAATTCTTGGCAGGACTTATAGATGGGTGTCAGAAGATAGTATGAGGGGAAGTTCTCAAACAAGTGAAGGTGTTTGGACTCGTGTGTCCAAAATATACATAGAGTTCTACAAAGGCACCATTTCATCAAATACCCGAAACCACGAGAGTTGTTCTTCAAGATGGAAGAAACATCTTCAGCCAAGTTTGAACATATGGCAACAAGCACTGTTAGCAGCCGCAAGTAGACATGAAAGCGGCGCTAATTACTACGACGAAGTAAGTGTTTTGACAATTTATTTTAAATATTTAATTGTATTACATTTAATTTCATAAATTAATTTCCTTTAATTTTTGTAATTATATTTTCTAGGTACGCCAATCAGGGGAATTGTATATGGAGGGCAGCTCAAAACCCTTTCAATTTCACAGTTGTCGAGAAATTTGTAAAGGGTGGGTGTTATTTGAAGATCCACCTCAACATAGAGTAGGTCCTACGCTGGTGTTTGAAACTGCATCCTTAGCTGAAGATATGGATGAAGAAAGATCTCCTACCATTCAACAAATAAGGGTAGAAAATTCGTCTTTGGGTGAAGGTTCCATACCTAGGGCTATGGGACGAAACAAGGCCCGAAGGTTGAAGGAAAAGGGCAAGGCAACAGATGATTACGCCGCTCAACAGGAAGTGGCGGCCTCATTATGATTAATGGCGGAGCAAAATGCCTTTGCCGCAAAAGAAAGGAACCGTAGGCATGAAGAACGGGCCAAACAAATACAAGAAGAGATGGATGATAAGAATATGAAAATGAACACTTCGAATTACAGTCCAATGAGTAAGGCCTATTTTGATAGAAAAAAATAAAAATTATGACCCGGCGGCAGTTGTTTACCTCTTACTATACTCCTACAATGGCAAATGATGAAGATAATGATGATTTTAGAGATTAAATTTAAATTGTTGTAGTTTTTAAATTTAAGTTGTTGTAGTTTTTTTAATTTAAATAATAAATTATGTTTGACCCTATGACCCTTTGGCCCTCGGTTGGAGACGGTTTTTTGTGACAAGGCTAAAACGAGCCCTATGGCCATTTGGCCCTCGGTTGGAGATGGTAAAAAATATGGCCATGCACTGTTCATTAAAATATTAATTGTTTGGAGGGCCAAAGGGCTAAAATGAGCTCTCTGACCAGCTTTCGGTTGGAGATGGGTTTACAATTTTGAAAGGACAGCTGCCTTCAGCCCAACTGCCTCCCATTTTGTGAGCTAGGTGAAGGGCAACTCGACCCAATTACTATTGCAATTGGATGACTAGTGGAGATGTGTTAAAGGGAAGGCTGGGCAGTTCATTTTTAGTTGCCTAGATGTTGTTAAGAAAAGTGAATCACCGCGGAGAGTTAGCGTTGTGAATTTAATGAATGTAGTGGTTGTGAAGCATGTGCTCGTATATGTTCTATGCATCCGCTACATAATTAGTTAGAAATTGGGAACAAATATTCTCCAAGCAAACGATTGCCGGCAACTTTCGAGGAAATTTTGGCTTTGTAGGAACTCTAAACTTTTGTGAAAGTTACAACTGATGTTGAGGACATCATCTACAAAAAACATGATGGATAAAACCATGGCCCTCATTTGGTATAAAGGATTGAATTTGAACAGATAAGACCTAATTTTTAAGGTACGTGTAAGGAAGAAATGACAAAATTGCGACCAACTTGAAGATAGAAGATTTTTTTTTCTTTTTTTCTTTTTAAATATTATTATTAAAGAAAGAGGGAGAGTTCGAACCATTACACTAATTTAGGGGAGGGGGTTTCGAACACAGGATGCATGGATGGAAGCCCAACACCATATCCACTAGGATATTGGACTACATGCAACTTGGAGGTAGGAGAATGATGTTTCAAGAAAACTTATTCTAGTTGTCCCTGTAGGGATTAGAAGGGAGATCTTTCCTCGTCTACAATTTCCCTCAAATAAAAAATCATTCTCTTATTGACACACCCCGATCCTAGAATCAAGGCGTGCACGCCCTGATTTTAGGGTCGGATGTGTGTCACTTATGCATTCAATTTACCGTCAACGTTGAAAATCTTCCATTCTAATCCAATCGAAGGCTTTGAGGTTTTAGGTCGGACTAACAAAAATTGCCTGCGCGATGCTGCGGGTTTCAAATGCAACCAATTCTTGCAATCAGTAAATATGGTTGAGAAGTTGTCAATAGTCAAAAAACATGTTAGCCAGGATAGTCAAATTTTATCAATTTACTCCAAATGACATCAACTTCTCCAAAAGGTTTCCCTCTAGACTCTTACAAATCACTCAATAGATTTGTTAATTGGCCCTAAACTCTTAGTAACAAAATTAGCCAACTCTAATTAACAATTCATAATCAAACTGCAAAAACAACATAGTGAGTTTCAACTGTGTACAAACATAAGAATCAACATATTCAAAGGTCTTGATCTGCATTATTACCCAAAAGGCATTCATTACATTTTAATAAAAATTTCCCCAATGAACTACAATTCACATACAATTTGAAAGATCTAATTCAAACATTAAAGTACTCAAGCAATTCAGATAATGCTTGAAAGATGAAATTCAAACAAATAAAATCACTCTGCAACTGATTCACATGTGTTGCAGGTGGACCTTACCAACCAAAACTTTACCGCAGCCAAACGCTGGGTCCTTTCCATGAGTTAAGTGGATTTTATGTAGTTGCATTCGCATTGAAATAAGGAAAATAAATCAGTAATCTTAATTTCTTAAGAACATAAAAATATTTCCCAACTTGCTTGTCTCCTTGCATAAAAAATTATAAGCACAGAGGGGAATGGATATTTCCCAACAAATAATGCAAAAACCAATAATAAAGATTTTTAAATAAATTTTGTGATTAATGTGTACATGATATAGCAATTGCATCAGAAAATCAAACCTTGAAGAGCATTAAGGAATTGATATACAAGAGAGGCTGCGGTAAGCTGAACAAGCAGAGGATTGCCTTGACAGAACGCCATTGTTGAGGAGGTTCGTACCTCGCTGCTAATGCTGTATCTAATTGGTTTCATTAATTCTGCACAGAAGGAGAAAATTTTTATTGTGATGTGTTACACCACGTATTTTTATGTAAATGGTGGGAAATTTTATTTTGTTAGTTATTAACTTTTTAACACATATATTCCATCATTTGTATAATAACATGTGATGTACCACCTCGTGTGCCGATCACACTGAAAAATCTTTTGCACGGAAGATCTTATTCACAAGATCTTGACAATTGGTCCTCATTTCAAGGAGGCCAGTAACTTTATGTGGCCATTCAAGCTTAAGGCACCGCTGTTCGGTCTTAAGAAGAAGAGGAACCACTACGTCGAAGGTGGAGATGCCGGAAACCGTGGGAACTACATCAACGAGTTTTTTCTGTCACTAGAGGGGATCTGATACTTGCTCTCTGTTTAAGTTGAACACAGTTTTCGCTTTAAGGTTCATGACTTGTCTTGAAGACTTAAATGCTAGAAAGTTTTGTTACCTTATATAAATGTTTTGCATTCGATGCTGCCTGCTTGTTTACTTTTGCCAAGGTTCTAAATTTGGCTAGAGTTTCATATGTTTTGTTGCCCTCCTTTTTCTTTTCCTTTCGTGAATAACCGTGGAGAGTTATCGTTGTGAAGTTGATGAATGTAGTGTTTGTGAAGCATGTGCTCGTATATGTTCCATTCGTCTACTGCTTAATTGGTTAGAAATTGGGAACAAATATTCTCCAAGGAAACGTTTGCCCTTTGGCTTTGAAGGAACTCTAAACTTGTGTGAAAGTTATAGCTGATGTTGAGGACACCATCTGCAAAAAAAAAAAAAAAAAAAAAAAACATGATGAATACGACCATG